TATTGTGTAACATTTGGTGCATAAAAATATCAAGGCAAAAAAAAGCCATGATCATAAGAGTTTGCACGATAACTATAAATATCTGATTTGGTATCACGTTTGTGCGTAGGAATTTTAAAGCACTGGATCATGGACTGGACATTAGTGTTCCAAATCGTTAGTTGAAAAACCAACTAGTTGTCAACTTTCCAACTAATCGTTTTGAAAATTTTTTAAATAACTAAACAACTAATTATTCAATTAATATAATTCCAAGATATTCTGCTTAGTCGGGCTAATTCGTGATGATTTCTTGGATTTGATTGGCCAATTATCTGAGAATGTCATGTGAGATTAGTAGTTGATTAGCAAAATTTTTACCAACTAGGAACACTACTGGATGGACATGGACGTCCATGAAGACCTCAGATAATACTAATAGAGGTACGAGTTGAGTTAATAGTAAATTTTTAGACATTTTGATCACTTTTTTGGCCCAAACTTTTTTTAAATTCTGCCCAAAATTAAAATTAAAATTTAATATTATGTACCAGAATTTAGAAAAGTCTGGGCCAAAAAATGTCCAAATTTAATAATAAAAACATGTCCAGTTTAGTACTCTTATCCTTTTTAGAATTATCCAGGGTCCTCGCCCATGCCTATAGACATATAAAAAAATATGGACATGGACATTGAACATTGTTTATGGACTGTCCATGTTCAATAATTTGCTTGGACATATGTCCATGTACAACACTGCTCAGAGTTATTATTTGTACCTCGAACCCTAGTGTACAGTAAAAAAATTTATACTGTGCACAAATTTATAGTAGTGCTCTCATGAGAACACTAATTTCAAACACTGGTTATAAGTGAATCAAAATTTTGCAAGGAATTTTTATTAGAACATAAGAGATGGTATATTATTTCTGGCTCATGTTGGTATAAGAATTGTTTATATCTAATGTTTTATAAAAATACAGTATATCTATAAATTATAAGCACATTAACCTCAAACGAGACACCTAACCGACAACCTTACTTCCACTTCAAAAATAAACAATGGTGTGGTGAAAATATGCATACTCTAATAAGCAGTTAAACATTTAAATATCTATAAAAATAAAAAATAAAAAAAATAAAAAATAAATAAAAAATAAATAAAAAAAGGAAGCCAAGAATCAAACTTAAGATGAAGCATAAGGTTGGAAAATATCCAATACATAGTAACAGAAAACCTAGACCAGAAAAACATTAAAGTTCAGGGAGGAACGCAAGAAAAGTTAACTGAGAAATTTTTGTTTCTAAAGAAGACATTTTATCAGTTAACTGAGAAACCAATTGACAAAGTGAAGGAATTTCTGCTTCTAAAGAAGATATTTTATCGATTAACCCAATTGACAAAGCGAAGAAATTACTGCTTCTGAAGAAGATGTTTTATCAGTTAACTAAGAAACCAATTGATGAAACGAAGAAATTTCTGCTTCTAAAGAAAATATTTTATCGGTAAGAGTCTGAATCACTTCGAGAGGTCTTTGACGGGAAATCTGATGTGAAGGGTCAACAAAAACAAAGCTTAAAGCATTATTATTCAAAGACATTTTACTTTGGTAGAGTTTGGGTATGCTTTAAACTAACTGTTGATTCAATAAATGATATTTTTCAATATAAAAGAGCATCAAATAATAACAGTTTGATTGAATCGATAAAATCAAGGCTTGGGCTATATACTTGAGAGGGTAACACCACCATGGAACAAAAACAAACTTAATATATGCCACTGAATAAATGTTGTATCAGCATGCAGTCAAATTAAGTCTGTTTTTCCAAATTGAGTCTGTTTTTCCAAATAAATTTATGTATATATATGGAAAATCAAGAAGAAAATCTTTGTGTAGCTGGTATTATAAATTTACAATTGGCAGCATTTATTCTCAGATCAATTGTTATCAATTTATTATCGAGATGTTTTTCTTGTTATTTGTACCTTACATAACAAAACTCAGTTGGCCAATAATGACTTGTAAATCATGATCATAATTGCACGATAATATCAATATTGGATCATGCAATGATAAATATTATAAAATTTGTTCTGACAGAACAAATTTCATGATATTAATCGTGGCATGACCAATATCTTATAAATCTTTTTCTTTCGTTACGTATTAAGTTTGTTTATCTTTTTTCTTTCGTTATCAGATTTGTTTATTTTTTTTTTTCGGGGTTATTTTATTTTTTTTTATTCCAGTCCCCGAACTTATTAATTATCTCTCCAGGCTTGTATATATCGGATAGCAAAAAAAATTCAATAATAAATATCGCGGTTCATAATGAAATCAGATTAAAATAAAATGAGAGTTTCTATTATACTTGTTTATTATAAGCTCTCTACCCTCTAACCCTAACCTTAACCCTAAAAAATGCACTTCAAAAATTTTTATCTTGTCTATTGTTTACATTGTACAATATTTCATTTTAATCTGTCACATTATATAATCCATTTAAGGTTTGCGTTGTACAGGATACGCAGCGAGTATCTAGTATCATCAGTAGTCAAGACCTAAACTATCGACTGACTTAAAGCATATTTAAATCTGATTGGTCCGCTGATCAAATTGGTCCTTAGTCGATATTTTTAAAAAACTGGCTTAGTCAATTAATCGACTAAGTAAAAAACGTTGATCTAATATGAGCTTTGACCAATCAAATCATTCAAAAAACTCAAGAAGCAACCAATTTTATGATTCTAAAATTCAAAATCTATTGAACAATTTGAATATTATTTTTTGAAGATCATGATTTAATACCTGAATAGAAATTAGGCTTGGGAGATCAATGATGTCCAATAAAAGCAAACTTCTAAATCATCACGGGTTTCTACTTTTAATAAATAAAAATATGTGTAATTTATCACAATGTAATGTATTGCTAGCTCATAAATCAATAGGAGGTTTCAAAGTTAACAAATAAGTGGTGCATTTTGAAATTAATAAGAGTTTGAAACAAGAAAACAAAACTCTTTTCGACGATCACTAAAACTAAATTTTCCCACTAATAGAAAAACAAAAAATTTTTTGTTGAAGAGTTATGGCCTATATTACAGTTTGTCTAGAGATCAACGTTAGCTGTGTTTCAGAACTCCTTTATAATTTGACATTTGGCATGCAAGCCAAGAGCATTATTATACAAGATAACTGGCAGGAGGTGCCCTTGTATAAAAAATCTTGGTGGAGTGTGAGCAAGAAGCTTACTTTCATCGACAAAGTTTCTAGGTTGTTACTTCAAAGAATAACATAGGGGAAACAACAAAACTTTTTCTTTTCTAAAGCCATACTCTTTTTTTTGGGTTTGATGACTCTTCTCTTTTTTTCTCTCGCCCTTCCATCGGTCTTCCAAAATTTTTTACAAAAAGTGGAAATTTGGCTTATCTCTTCAAAAAATTGACATTGTTTACTTTCCAAATTCGGACGAACTCAGTAGAATACAACCACATAACATGTTTGTTTACAAATACGGTGCTACTCCAAGGAAGTTGGATTGGGACCTCTGGTTAAAAAGATATCCAAAAGCGGTCATAAGTCGGAAGAACTTTTTATGTTAAGGCGAAGCTTTATAGTAGAGATATACAATCGTTGCATTTGTTATATAATTTTTTAGCCTTGTACAGGTTATAATAGTGCATTCTTATTACATAGAGAGGTGAAATCCCTCTTTACACCTTATCCTGGTTCTATAAAATTTTTTTATTTTTTCCTATTTTTTCTTTTTTGGGGGTTTTTTTATTTTTTATTTTGCTCTTTTCCCTCTTTTGCTCATTTTCTCTTTTTAGTCATAGTTTGTTTTTGTTTTTTATAGAATTTTTTTTTTTGGATAATTCCAGTCATCCGTGATCTGGTAGGATGGAGTTGCTCATAGGTCTGAGTTAAGTTTTGCACCACGATATGGAACTGTGTAAAGTCAGACTTCTTATCTGAAATTTATGTATTTATGTTATTATAAATATTAATAAATAAGATTAGTTACGGCGAGACCTATCGACAAAAAAAAAAACCCCTCAATTTCCCAAGAACTACTAATCCAAATAGGCTGAAATTTTAATATGTTGTAGCCCAATATCACTCCTATCTCCGGTAAAAATTTCATCCAATTTGGTTTAGTAGT